ATTTAACTGCCAGTTAAGGAGCACAAACAGCTATGGGCTGAGTCATCCTTTATTCTCCCCTACCCACCTGTAATAAACTCGGACGGGTGTATTCTTTTAAAGAATAAACAGACGTCCGTCTGTTTACACAGCCTTTTCTTTGTGAGAAGTGTAACGATGATAATAGGTATGTGCGTTTCCTAGAGTACACACGCGTCCTTCTACGGTAACTGGCCCGCGTTACGTCATCACAGGGCCGTCGTAGCCCCTGCCCGCGATGGCACGTGCCCCGCCGGCCCTCCAAGACCCCCGTCGCCCGGCTACAGCGCGGCCGATACAACACACGTGCGAAAAAGGGACGGCAGCAAGGGCAGAAGCAGTACACGACGGTGCGGGGTTAAAAATAGGCTGAGCAGGAAGGATCATAGGGAGAGTGAGAAGGGAAACGGGTGATGAAGCTCGGATCATCGTTAGGAATTAAAAATAGAATAGGGGGATAAAAGAAACCTCATCGGTCCTCTGACTCAGGTCCTCCGCCGCCGTCCCCTTTAAGATCGATGTCAGCGGGGTGCGAAGCGATGTTATTAATAGATGAGGGCACAGGGTAGGCTGCGCTCAGAGGCGCGGCCTCCCGCCGTCTCTCACTGTCCCGCCGCTGCCCTGCAGTGGGCGCAATTGTCAAGCACTGCGAGGGAGAACGGCGACTCCAGCACAGTGGCAACCGCCAGCAGAGGTGACATCAACGCTCGGGGCGAAGAATTATCATTTTGGATTCGTGGGGTGGGGGATGGAACCAGAGCACTAGAACACCATGTTACTACACTATTATTAGTTGCGTCCTAACCAACACACAGTTGCTCAGAACTTTCATCCACTGACAATCATCATCAGCTAACAGGGCCTGTCCACATCTACTCAAACCCCCAGCTCACAGACTGATCGTACACCTCCTCAAAGCGATTATCACAGCAGGGCCTTTTCCAAACTTTAAAAAGGTCGGGTTCTCTTCACAGCGTGACAAGCGCTCGGTCTCCTAACCTGATTTTCCTCCACAACCCCCAGCTATATAGTACTGAGAAAGAGAATGAAGTTGAATGTCATAATGCATTCAAGTCCCTCACACCAAGGCCATGAAACCAAATGAATAATGCAGCTACTACTATTACTGTACAGCAGTGTCAGTATGATTAACTATGAGCAGTATTAAGATTACGATCCGTCCCCAAATAGCCTCGACCAAAAGCTTGATTTCAAAAATAGCCCCTTGACGCTGAATTGGTAAAAATACGAATTACTCTCCCCAACAAACGACACCATAGAGTTGGCCTTCCAGGGCAGGGAGGTTCCTGAGGACCCTTGTATTCAGAAATGCCTCTGGGACAGTGACTCCGATTTCATTTTCAGGCTGCCGATATGCAAAGGAGAAGAGACGCCTGCACAGGAAGCACCGTGTGATAATTGCCGCCATGTCAGGATCGTGGCCTGACTGGCATCCATGACTTTCGCCCTCAGTTAGCAGCCCTTCTGAACCACATGGCATAATGTCACATCTCACCACTTGGATGCCTCCACCTGCAGTACCTGCAGCTACATCATTCCAGATGGATCCCAGTGACCGATCTCCCATTCCATCAGCAAATGTGCTGACATCACTCAGTGCCATGTCGCCAGGCAACAGGGCAAGTTAGTTGCCACAGCAACCCTGGCCTAGTCTTAAAAACCGCTGTGAATCAGCTCTGCCTGTGGTCTGCCACAGCTCCTCATCGTACGGCGACTATTCTGCTGCCATTCTGACGCCGTACGGACTGATGTATGTCTGGAAAACCCTTCACCACAGGACTTGAATGCAATCAAGCAAATGTAAGGGGACTTTGCAGAACAGAAAGACCATATATTTTAAAAACAGTTTGCAAGGGCAGAAAGGTGAACTCTAACAGAAGCAAGAGTCAGCCGGTCCCATAATAAAAGCTCCACCCAGCTTTGCAGAAGTCGCCATTAAGAGCTTGTATAAAATAATAATAAAGTCTAAATATTACCTGGCCCGTTATGCTGCCTTGAGTGGCTGGTTTGTTAGACCCAATCTATTCAGCATTTGTCAATTGCTGGAATACTGTAACCACAACTTTTCCCGAATGGCATATATAGGGAAAAAATAAGGTCAGCACTTCTACTCCGCCCTAGCTGGCTAAATTATTCCGTAACTCGGAGAAGCTAGAGAGCCCTGAGGAGGAAGTTGAAAACAACAAAGGCCGGATGTCAGTGAAGACATGACTTACACAAAGAACCCAAAGAACCCTCACCGAAGTCAAGCTAATATTTGGAAAGACATATTTCAGAGCACCTTGCTTGTAATTATTCCTATTGCCTTTGGATGCTGAACAGATTCATTCTCTAAAAGCAGAGTCTCCAGGCGTCACAGCCTGACATTCTGCTGGCCTTCTGGCACTCATTAGATTGAGGAGATTACAATACCCTCATTGGCATCCTGGTACACATACTCACCTGCCACTCTCAGGTTGGATGGACTGGCCCTGCCATGCCCAGGAAAGACAAAGCTGGGTCCGGACTGGGTGTCACCCTCCAGCTTATTACGACCCCCCCGCCCTATTCCCAATCAGGGGGCACATTTCTGAAGCTGAAACCTGCACATCATGAGCCCTTCCACCTACAGGACCTCCCAACATTTATAATACATTATGATAATCATCTGTGTTCTCATTAAATTGTATTAAGATAAAAACTACAAAAAAAGGCCCTTCAGAGTGTTTCTGCTGAGACAGTGACGAGAGTGGACAGCTCAGGGTGTACTCATTTACTCTCAACCTCAGGCCCTAATTGTCTTGTAGAGGCAGTTAATTGGACAGATAAAAAAAAAAACAGGTTAGGGTGCTTAAGTGCTAAACAAGTGCCAATTAAATGTTCTCCCTACATGGAGAGGGACTCCAGCCCCTGAGGACCAGTGTAATGCCTCAGATCCCTACACCAACAACCAAGGCTGTCTACTATAAAATCAGGCTGAATCTGTCGCTTAAGGTGTTTCCAAGGGGTAGTGCACTCTGATTACTTGCCACTGATCCCATAATCACATTCATAGACAAAGAATGAAGTAGTTCAAGAAGTGGAAACTAAAACAAAACAAAAAAACAGCAAGAAAAAAAAAAAACACAGTCAAGATACATTATATGTTAATGGCAGAAGACCAGAGAACATTCCTCAGTCATAAAGTACTCTTCATTGTGAGCTGATGGTCATCTGATCCAATGATGGAGGAAGAAAGAATAAAAGTGAAGTCAGGGACATGTGCAGACCAGAGGGATTTAAAAAAATATAATTAAAAATTAAAAAGGCAGGAGAACAATTTAGTAAAATCATTACAGACATGTAGCTGGATATAAGGTGTTTATTATATTAAGGTCCACTGGGATCTCCCCAGAACTACCATCACCTCCACCGGACGACAGCGTGACACAACAGAACACAGTGTGCAAACCAGGGCGTCACACCTGGACAACTTTCATCTTTAAAAAAAATTATGATAATACAGCAGCTAACAGGACATAAGGGCCTATAAGAGCCAGGCGTTGCAGGAATGGAAGTGTCAGTAGAAGGTCACATGGCACGGCTGGGGAGAGAACACAGCAAAGAGTGACGAAAAGCAAATGAGGCTGATTTACTGATGGAGTTTTCTCCTTTTCCTCCTGGCACCATCCTGTTGTTTTCAGCTGTCAATAACTAATTTGGCCCAAGAGGCGACTAAAGCCCTCCTGGGGAGGCGAGGGCTCAGGGCTAGTTTCCACTCCTAATCTGGATGGAAAGTGGGGCGACTGATGAACTGGCCAGCCCCCCCCCCCCATGAGCTTCGGTCATCCTTGGCACAACAATCAGCCCCAGCAAGGTTATAAAGACCATATCATTAAACAGGGCGAGAAATGGGTGTTCTTCCAACAGCAAATAAAAGTACAGTTAAAAAATGTTATTGATAGACACGAGTGTCCGTGTACTGCATACACTATTGGATACCTGTGAGTATGTTGCTCAGGAGACGAGAAGGGCGTGTCTCTCTATGAGGCTGACATTGAGGTTCCTGGATTCTGAACCCAGAGGAGTAACGGGCTTCAGAGGTGGGTTGAGTGTCTTGAGACCTTGTCTTACCTTCCTCAGATATTAGCACACATGGTACTTTGTCCACAGGCAAACCAGGAGTTGCCAAGGTTACACAGCTTCTCCAACAGTGGTTCTGGGGGGTTAGTGATGAGTATCACTCAGATATTAGCTGTTTATTGAAACCCCCCCCCCCCTCCAGGAACATGAAAACATCATGATACACGCAAAATAAAACAGAGAGACAGGCTTTAAAAAGCTACCTAAATACTGGAGTCGTAAAAGAGAATCCAAAGAGAATACAATATTTGATACAGATAGCATTAATAGGAAACAACCTGAAGTATCACGGCTCATATATCACAGTCTGGCTGTGTTCTCATACTCTTATCCCACAAGAATGATCCTGACTGACAGATTTTCCCTTGAACCCTATGGATGAGCGATCGGTAATTGGATAGCACCTTAACTAAGCTTTTTACGCCTGATCTTCCAAGTAAACAGAAAGCCACACAGTGCAACCTGCCACCTCTACGTGCCCTAGTGCCATGAGCTGGAAGCCTGCTAGCCCATATTCCCCAGGTTTGTACGCAGCCCCGCTGTGCTAAGACAGAAACCTGATGCCAATCACAGTGCGGGTATTTATCTCTAGCGGATGCTGGGTTCTCTGCAGCTTGAGAGTCATGTGACAGTGCCAAATCAGCGAGATGCTACACAGCAGGCACTTGCTGTATTGCCAAACGCCCTTGGCTGGCTGATTTCCCCCCCCCC